GCTGTTTTTGTTTACACACACACACACACACACACACACACACACACACACACACACAGAGAGAGAGAGAGAGAGAGAGAGAGGAGAGAGAAAGAAAAGATTCAGAAGGGAAATACATACATTTACCTGTTTGGTAAAAACCATCCTGTGTTTCTTTTTATTAACTTGTTTTCTTCTATCAATATTACTACTGCCCCTTCCATCTTACAATTTTTTATTATTTTAATTGCCTTTTGTATTATCTGTCTTTTTGTACAAGACTATTTGTGGTTATTGCCTAGCTACCAAAGGAAATTATGGAGACCAATCAGAAAGAGTGGGTGATAGAAGATAGTAGCCTGGGGATATTTAGCCCAATTATAAAATAGTCATAGAAGGTCTTATTAAAGAATTTTTTTCTTTTTTGTTGTGAATTACTCATCTATAATCATAAGCCTCTAGTAATATATACAAAAGATTATTCACTATGTTGTGTCTTGGTTTCCTCACCTGTAAAATGGAGATAATAAATAGCACCTTCAGGGGCAGCAAGGTGGTGCCAGGTGCATTGGGTAGAACACTGGCCCTGAAGTCAGGAGGACCTGAGTTCAAATGTGGCCTCAGACCAAACTCTTGACACTTATTAGCCGTGTGACCCTGGGCAAGTCACTTAACCCCAATTGCCTAAAAAAACAAACAAAAAACTAGCGCCTACCTCACCAGTTGTTGTAAGGATCAAATGAAATAATATATACAGTTCTTGCAAACTTTAAAATGCTATATAATATATATATTATTGGATTAGTAAGGAAAAACTTCAAAAGAAACTGTATCCATGCTTTCTTAACATTATTATTAGGTATTTACTGTTCAGTAGAAATTTATGAGTATTTTTCCCTTAGTCCCCATATAATTGAACCACATCTTACCTCTTTTGTTTTCTAATTAAAAAAGACTTTGTCAGTTACTTGCAGTTGGAAATATGGAATCCATTCGGATAGAAATTTATATTATTTTGTAATACCCTTGTTTAGATGTTCAGAATGCCAATCTAGATAATAATATTTTGATGGAGTAGCTTTGGTATTGCATGATGAAAATATTTACGTGTGTCATGTAAAATAACCCCAGGAAAACCTGTCCACTGTGAGGCAAACCATTGCCATGTGGGGAACAGAGAAGGCAAAGTTTGCTGTAGACAAAATAGCTGTTTAGGGATGATCCCTATGCTCCAGAAGCCCATTTTGAAGTGTGAAAAGAGGAGTAATTACTGAGTCATATCTGACTCTTTTGTTATTATTCTTTTGGGTGGAAATCCTGGAATGCATATTATCTTACAGGCAGTCCTCTCATAGAAATGAGGCTAGGATTCTGTATAGTTTTTACCTTGTAAAATTAATAGTTGATATCTAGAACTTTTTATATTGTCCTCTGCTTTAGGAGATCAGAAGGTGGCAAAATCCTCCAAATTAATTGTACATAGTAAAGTTCCATGTATTATTAATCTTAATAACTATATTTATTAATTTAATAACTATTAGTTTAATGAACTTTTGAGTAAGTTTGTTAAGGGTAAAAAGGAATATGCCTTTTGTTTTTAGCTCTCCATAAGTGATGTTTTGATTATATATGCTTTTCTAATAGATAATAGATTATGAAAAATGTAAATGTAAAAATTACTATAAACATGTATACATATCTGTTACAATTATGTGCATATATACACACATGTGTTTGTATTATTTACATGTCTAAACACATATGTATATAAGTGTGTATCCATACACACCTACGTATATACATACATACATACATACACATGGTAGAGGGGAGAGAGAACAACAAATGGCCAGCTTTCTATTTTGACCTAAATGCAATTGCATATCTGAGCAAACCTCATAAGTTAAAATACTTTTGTACCTGAATACTTTCCAATTAATTTTTATTATTAATCATTAATTGAAAGCTGTCATCCTTGACCTAAATATAAATAGATCATACTTCAGGGATCTTAATGCTCTATGTCTGTGTGCACACATGCATGCAAATCGAAAGCAGAGGAAGGACAATTTTAAAATGCAAAGAAGATAATTGGTACTAAGTTATATATGTGTTTACATATATATATATATCTGTGTGTGTGTGTATATATGTATATGTATGTGTGTGTGTGTGTGTATATATATATATTCATTATAGCATTCCCAGAGTCAGGTATCTAGTGAACATTATTAGATATGTTTAAAAGAGCTATTGGCATCAGAGTTAACACTGGTTTATCAAGGAGTAGTCTACCCATAATGAGTGAGAACATTAGCTTCATAAGCTGGTATGACATTTTAGATTTAATCTCTGTTACAGTATTTAGGATTGTTTGATTTTTATCGGCTGAATGAAATTTGTGTATCTTATAATGTAGATGTGAATTTTGAAAAGTGTGTAAAGCTATTCTCTCTCATCTTACAATTGTAGCTATTAAATGTGACAGTTATGTTAACTCCAATATGAGCATTTTTAACCTAGAAACTACCCTCCAAAAACTACTGTTTTTTTTTTTTTATATCAAACTAGGTGTTCTTTTGGTGTTATTCTTAAACATAATGTTATCATAAATACACATGCACATACATGTAATTATTTTCTCATAGATTTCTTATATGTTTTGTCTGTTAGACAATTAGAATGTGAATTCTTTGGGAGCAGGGACTACCTTGCTTTTCTATTTCCTTCCCAAGTGTTTAACACAGCGCTTTTCATATAGTAAGTGTTTTAATAAATGCTTTTTAAAATTTTTTATTAATTTCTATTTCTCTTGAGCACAGTAAGTCCTCTTGATTAGAAAATCATCTTAGTACAAGAAGGGGAAGGGGAACAAGCATTTATTAAGCATCTACTATGTGCCAGGTACCGTGCTAAGTGCTTTACAGATATTATCTCATTTGATGCTTACAACAGTCTTGTGAGGTAGGTGCTTATTATTATTATTCCCATTTTTAATTGAGATAGATGAAGCAGACTAAAGTTAAGTGACTAGAGTCACATACCTATTAAGTATCTGAGGTCAAATTTGAACCCTAGTCTTCCTGACTTCAAGCCATTACACCACCTAGCTGCATGCTGTAAAAACAATCAGTCTGCCTATCTAATAGTAGTGATATACTTGGGTATGTCTGTTAGAAACAATCTTTGCTACAATAAGTGATAGTGGATCCTATAATAATTTGAAAGTCCTATTGATAGGGCATAATTGATTTTTTGTAGGATATTTACTGTCTGTGATATATTAACATGTCTTTTGCATAAATGGTTTTATAATGGAATGTCACAAAAGGTTACTGCCTCAACTCAACTAGGTAGTATTTCGTGACTTCTTAGATGTTTTTCTTTTAATTTCTTCTCATCTCCCTCTTTCATGTGTACTATAGCAGTTTCCATGTAAGATAAGATACTGTAAGTATTAAAAAAAATTTTGATTTATTTTTGTTTCTACTAAATGGAGGACCTAATTTAAATTTCTAAGGCTAAATGGATCTAATTTAAAGCCTAATTTAAGAAATCTCTGTGAAGTTATCTTTTTCAGAGGTCTTACTATAAGTGTTAATCCCCCTCTTCCCCTTCCTCATTATGTTCATTGTAATAAATGTTTAAGTGATTTTCATCTGTTTATCCACTCTATGATGGAAAGCATGATTTTGTAATTATAATTTATTTCAGAAAAAAGATTAGTAGATGTAGTATTTTAATCTTATGTGGTTTTTACGAAAGGTTTTTATATAAATGTGACCATGGAAGTATATAACTTCCATGACTACATTTGTGAAATTCCAGCAGAATTCCAGCTTTGTAGTTAAAGGAATTTATTCCTACCTTTGTGATCTTATTGCCATAGTTCGTGATGGATATATACATATGGTATGTAACTCCCATCTCAGAGTAAATTGTATACTGTATTCTATATAAGAATCACTAATCTTTTCAAACAGCATTATTTAGCAGGCAAGTACATGTCTTTAAGGCCTATTCATATTCTATAGTTTCTTTATTTTCATCTTTATCCTTTAGCTTTGACACTTTCTCCCTTTTTACAGATTTGTTGGTGGAGGTAGTTGAGCATTTAATCAGTGGTTCTTTGACATGCATGTTGTTTTCAGTATAACAGTTCATACATAGTGTGGGATGTATTTTAGGGATAAGGCCCTTTGTAACAATAGACTCCAACAAAATCCTTCTCCTGTACATTTTAGTGTCATGATGGCAACCTCTATTCTTGACCACTAGTATCTGGCAGATCGTTCCAAGCTGGAAAGACTTTGTGTACAAACTTCAATATAGGTTTTACTTCTGTTGTCTGAGAGTTGTGTAACCAAATTTGGAGAGGATATTTACAATTATTTTTGTCTATAATAATTCTCAAAGACAATCTATAAAATTCTAAAGGGTAGCATACATGCAGCGTAACCCCAGCTCCTTGAAATATTGAAGTATAGCCTTTCTCATTGTAGCATGTACCATTATAAGTGAAAATTTGAAATAGATTCTTGGATTTTTTTCAAATTTTTTGCTTAAAGTGATAGCAAGTAAATGTTTTGAACATGGCAATTATTTTGCTTTCTTTCAGTCATGTAGTTAAATTGCATTTTGGCTTAATTAAGATATCAGTATTCCCAAAGCTATAGTGTTATGATATTCTAATGACAGGAAAACCTTTACAGGATTAAATTTGCATCTGAATATGAAGGCCAGCAATAAATTTTTGTTTTTGAGTCCTTTAGAATTTGAGGAGTGTGTGTATGTGTGTGTGTGTGTGTATACACAAGATGGGATTTTTAACATTTTAACATTTATATTTTAACATATCCTGAATTTATCCCTCGTAGATATTAGGTTTTATTTAAAGGTAACCAGTATTACTGATGTGGATGACAGAATGCTATTTACTCATAATACTCAGACAAGTATTTGCTACTGTATAATGGAAATTGTTCTTCCCTTTAGTTGAATTTTTTCCCACTCCTTTACAGATGCTTGTAACTACACCTGAAAAATGGGATGTAGTAACAAGAAAAAGTGTTGGAGATGTAGCCCTTTCCCAACTTGTAAAGCTTCTGATTCTTGATGAAGTTCATCTGCTGCACGAAGATAGAGGACCTGTATTGGAAAGCCTAGTTGCACGAACCTTACGACAGGTAAGAGAAAGTTATTTTATTTCATTCATTTGGGTAATTGAATGATTTTGATTATTTGAAATGGATCTTTTGTCAGATCCTGATATATGAATTCTCTTACTCCAAATGGCAACACCTTCATGCATATTGGAAGAACATATTAGTATGTAGCATTTTATAAGGGCAGTAATTATTTTACAGTAAAGAAATGCGAAATATTTTCTATTAATTTATCTAACACTTGAACCAGTTTTCCCTATTTTCCAAATATTTTCATCATCTGTTTTCTAAGTATTTTTCATCATCTAAGACACATAAAGCAAAATTTAAATTATATAACAACATAAAATATTGACTTGGCAAAATAGAAATTTATTATATCATTTTAAAGAAATATGACCCCCGATTCAAATTATAAGAACAAAAGACAATCTCCATTTGATAAATAGTCAAAGGATATGAATAGGCGTTTTTCAGGGAAAGAAACACAAACTATCAATAGCCATATGAAAAAGCTATTGATAGCTGCATGAAAAAATGCTCCAAATTGCTAATAATTGGGGAACTGCAAATCAAAACAACTTCAGGGGCCCTCCTTGTATCTCTTAGATTGGTAAAGCTGCCAAAAAAAAAAAAGTAAGTGATATGTGCTAGAGGAGTTATGGAAAAACAGGCACATTAATGTGCTGCTGGTGAAGCTGTGAACTGGTCCAGTCATTCTGAAAAGCAGTTTAGAATTATGCTCTAAAAGCTATTAAAGTGTGCATACTTCTTTACCCAGCCATACCACTTACAGTTTTCTATATACAAAAGAGATCAAAGAATGAGGAAAAGGGCCCATATGTACAAAACTAATAATAGGAACTTACTTTGCATAGGTGAAATTTTGGAAATTTTGAGTGTGCCAGTTAATTGGGGAATAGCTGAACAAATTATGTTATATATATATGTGATGGAATATCATTGACTGTGAGAAATGATGAAGGGGATGGTTTCAGAGGAACCCATAAAGATGCAGGGTGAAGTGAACAGAACCCAGAGAAACAGCAATATTGTAAAGACAAGCAACTTTGAAAGACTTAGGAACTCTGCTGAACACAATGACCAATCACCATAGAAGAGGATTCATAATCAAACATGTTACCCATCTGAGAGACGATGAGAACTGATGCGCTCAGTGCAGATTGAGACATTTTTTGGACGTGAACATTTCAGGAATTTATTTTGCTTAACTATACGTGTTTGTAACAGGTTTTGTTTTTCTTCCATTGCCGTTGAGTGGGAGATTTTCTTGCTTTCTTAATGGGGGTGGAGGAGAAACACCTGGGAAGGAGAGAAGGCACACTTTCATGGATTGAAAAAAAATTAATTTGAAAAATAAAGATAGGGATTTTCTAAATTGTTACAAAGTACTCATATGTTGTTATGGTACGTGGAAAATGAGTTTAGTTTATTTGTTATTCCCCTTATTTTGGTTTATTTGTTATTCCCCTTATTTTGGTTTATTTGTTTTTCCCCTTATTTTCTTATTATGAACAAAATGTAACTCAGTGGATTAATAGATTAATCTTAATCTATGTAACATGGATTTGATTGAATATGAAAAAATGAACTTGTAACCTAGCATGAGATTATGCTTCTGGTTTTCTAGAAAATGTTTTCAAATTAACAAGTTGTGAACATAGTAATAATTCCTGATAACCATCATGCTAGACTCAAGCTATTGTATTGTATGCTGCAGACTGTCTTTGAAGTAAGAAGTCATGTAAAGGATTGTTAATATGTTAGCAGAGACTGACAGCAAACCTGATGAAAACCATGACAAAATCTACAGTTGTTTATGTAGTAAAACTCTACATGCACCCACAGACTTCAATTTAGGACTTTGTTCTAAAAGGTTGTTTTTAGGTTAGTTATTTGCAACTTGAACAGTAGAAACATTATTTTTAGTGGTGGTTGGTTTCTCAAGCTAACTCATAAAAGGCATAATATAGAAGAAATATTACAAGGAATATAATAATATCAAAGTATGTTGAGTTCTAGTAAGTTCACAAAAGAGAAAAAGAAATTAAATGTTTTTTTGATATGTTGAATTTTGATGCTTAAGAAAAGGCTATTTAATAATTCATTTCAATAAGCATTAAGTGTCCACTGTAAGCCAGGTATGGTGCCAGGCACTGGAAATACAAAGATCCTTATACTATAATGGGGATGGGGCAGAGTGGTAGCAGTAAAATTTGTGCACAAATAAATAGATTCAAAGTTTAATTGTGGGTAGGGACTGGAGATACAGTAACACTTGGGAGAATATGGAGTGCCTCTTTCAGGAGGTTGCATACTTGGGCTGAATTTGGTGGGGACCTAGGGATTTTTATTAGCAAGTAGTACTTAAGTACCTGCTAACTTGTCAGGCACTGTGTTACTTAGGGGTCAAGGTGAAGAAGGAAAAGCGTTTTAGACTTGGGTAACATTCTGGGCAAAGGCACAGAAATGGAAAATATATTAGTTCTACACTTATAAATTAATAATTTTTAGAGACAAGGGAATATTTTACCAGTAGTTAGTCAAAAATCATGACTCCACAAGACATGGATAGTAACTTCATTCATCACAAGAGAAAGGCACATGTATGGGACTCCTTATACCGAGGAGCCTGTGATACAAGAGCCTTGGATATCTATGGGGTACAACAAAAAGGGGAGGTCTCATGGGAGGAGTGGAGAGCAACGCCTTCCCAAATGAGAGTTTGGGCATGGGAGGAGAAAGGGAGCAGTAGGGAATGGGGAGCAAGAGGGAGCAGGAGGATTGGGAATGACCAACCATGGAAGGAGGATTTGCTTATCTGTCTGCATCAACAGTTTATCAGTCTGGGCTAGAGTGGCCAAGCCAGTCTTACAGCTTACTCAGCTTCAAGGGCACTGAGAGTTTAATCGAGTTCAGTTGTAAAAGATCACTGTTACGTTAGTTTATGGGGGTGGGGGAGGCTTCGTCTCTGGAATATAGGGCAACTCAAGAAAACAATTTTAGGGGGACCCTTAAAACAGTTAATTCAGGAATATAAGGAAACAATAGTAGAAAGCAATTAAAACTTTATAGGTATGAGTAATAATAATAATAATAATAATGATAATAATAAAAGTGTGGACTCAGGCACCCCAAAGGAGTTCTCTTTATCTTTAAATTGCTTGGCCATTGCTTGGAGAATGGCTTATGAATGTCTTCTCCCAGGAGAGAACTTTGGTACTGAGAGTTTTACCATTTTCTTCTGAGATTGTTTGTGTGAATGTTAGCCTAGATTTTTGGAAAGAGATAAGGGATGTGTTGTATAAGGGAGCAAAATCTTGAATATTCAAGGATTCTAATACTTGGAGAAGGTGGGATGGGTGGACAAGTAGTATCTCCCCTATCAACAGGTGTGTATATAAATTTGTTTATGTGATATGTGTTTTCTAGTATGCAATGTCAATTCACTTACAAAGTATCGTGCTCCAGTTACAAAAATTCTAGATAGCAAATATAGTCTCATATGAATTATTGGAAGCACCATAGCAGCCACATTATAGAGTAAATCACAACAGTATTAGTTCATCTGGCCTTGCCACAGCATTTCAATCTTAGCAAGTTCAGGTTTTTTTCCCCTCTAAAATCTATCTTATGTCCCCCATTTCTTTTGAAGGCATCACACTATCCTTCCAGTCATTAAGGTTTATAACCTTGGAGTTGTCCTTGACTATTCATTCTCCCACACCGTCTAATATCAATCAGTCATCATTCTGTACTCATTTATTAAGCTTTTATTCTGTGCTAGACTAGGTATTAGAGATTCATTTCATTTTTGTGTTTGAATCCTAGTGCTTTGCACATAAAATATGCATTATAAATGTTTAAAAGCTGCTGTGCAGGCAGGCTGAAGTTATTGCTGACTTCACCCCATATTCTGCTTAGGTAAACATGGGGGAGGGGAATGAGGACACATCATGGCACAGGAAATTATATTATCAACATTCCAAATAATAAAAGAAAGATTTTACTTAATTTAATAAACTTAAATATCTGAGGCATTAGAATAAACAAAACTTCTTTTTCCATTGCCCTCTAATTCTTTCTTTCTTATCAGCAGTTGCTGAGCTGTGATCATCCGCTCTTGCTGTCACTACACAGGATGAGTCACTCTAATCAGGGACATAAAGTTAGAAGTAGAAGAGAAAACAAGTCATAGGATCATAAGCTCTTAGCTTTAGTGATGAAAGACGTCTTCAAGGCTATGAAATCTAAAAATAATTAATTGCATTTATTATCATGTTGTCTGGTCCTCACATCTGTCACCTTCCTGCTCTTCTTGAAGAATAAATTCGCAATGTAATTCATGTAAAAAAAAAAAAAGGCTATGAAGTCTAACCCCTGCATTTCTGAAGCTGAGAGAAGTGAAGTGATTTAAATAGGGTCACATACTAAGTGTAACAAAGTTTAAAAATCTTCACATTTGGCTGATGGATCTAATACCAGAGTTGTAGTACCTCTGCCAATGTCACCTACATTTTAGCCAAAATTTGGCCAGTTTCACAAGTCTAGGAAAGACTAGAAAGCGCTTTCTAAATACAGACCATAGTGTTGTTAAAATGTTAAGAGCTGGAAGCTATGTCAGTGCTTACTTACAACTATTAAAGTGTGAAAGAGACCAAAAATTGTTATTACCTTGTGATAAGTCAAATTAGAAATGTTAATATGGTTTGAGATGGATTCAAGTTGCAGAAAAATTAAGGATGGTGTTTTGTTTTGTTTTGTTTTGTTTTGTTTTGTTTTGTTTTGTTTTCTTCCCCCTATTGCAGTTTCACACAACAAGTAAGATTCAGGTAATTTCAGATTTGATATTTTCATTTTGCAATTTTAATTGTACACATATTTTGATAATAAGTACTATTAACTTTTCCTTTCAGTATTTTTCATACTTTTAATTTTCCTTCAAATATATGTTTAAAATACTTCTTGGTTACATATGACATTTACTATATTGGAGGCAT